CCTCGTCATATCAGTCAAGTTTGCAGCTCTTGCATCTCTCTTCCTGACAAAAGTTAATTAACAAGAGGTGCTGCTGAACTCTTCTTTTAAAAAATCTAAATGCCACCTCAATTTAGCTAAATATATCATACCACGAGACTATTATGTCAGAGAATTAAATGGTAGGCATAATCCACAGGCAGCTTACCTTGACTGAACCAGGCCTTCCATCCATCAGGTTTATCATCAGATTTTAAGAGCCCTTTTTTCCCTCTATTCTTAAAATGCCCAGAACAAAATCATTTTTTCTACTTTTTCTGTCTTATTGAATTTCATATTTTACATTTTCTTTCCCACTTTTAGCAGACAAAAACTGAGCTATCAAAATTGGTTGAGAACCAAGACATTTCACAATGCATTTTAAACTGAATATGCACAGACAAGGTAGAAAATGTCGCGTTTTAAAGTCCAGCATCAACAAACAATCAAAAGAAATTAGAAAACGGGGCATAATATTCTTCTCCAAGGTCAGAAAAACTCACAGACGATACCAACTGAGAATCTTTATAGAAGAATGAGAAACATTATACCAGCACCTAAACCAACATATTCACAATACAAACTTAAGGACATCTGGAAAACATCAATGGAAGAATAGAGCTACCTACTAAGCACAAAAGCATTTGATTTGCTGTTATACTAGAATCCAATAGGCAAAGGAAGTAAATAAAGGTCTGATTAATTTTATTAAAAAAAAGAGGGGGGAAAGAAAAGAAAAGTTGAATGCGAATAGCATATGAAGAAAAGTTCAGGCAATCTATAAAACCAAAATCTTGGACAGCAGGGACTTCCTACCCCAATGTAATTCGTAAAGCAAAGCCATCATAGCATATAAATAATCTTACCTGAAGCTCTGATAGTTTATCATGGATTTGCATATAGCCTAAATGAAGTTTGCCTCCAAAATGATCTGCTAAAAGTCGATCACTGAAATGAACAAGAAAAATCAAAACACTTTTACCCAGAAAATAGAAAAAGTTGCAGGAGTTTGCACTGTACAGTTTCCTAAATATTTATTATCTAACAATTGCAAGATCAACACAAGCACATAAAACAGAAAAAGAGGCACATTCTGTAGCTGCAAAAGTTATCCTCGTAAAACTGGGCCCAAAAGCCTGCTGGTAACAAGGAGGTATAATTGTCTGGTCAAAAGCTGAAGCACTTGAAACCCCAAACACTAACTTTTTGAAGCCTTCAGAAAGCTAAGATAAAAGGTTATGACCAGGAAGTAGAGGATAAACACGGTACCTGTCATAAACACTGAAAAATGCTCCACAAATGTCACAGACCTGTAGCTTTTGATCAGTCTGAAATAACATTAGATCAAAGTGGTTAGTGCAGATGAAATATTACTATATAAATGGATTAAAAAGAATTTGACTAAAATCAAAGGAGATTTGGTACAAATAAGGATACAACCTTTCAAAACTTTTCTAATTAAGGATATGACCTTTTTTCTTTACTAATCAAGGCTATCACCTTTCAAAGTTTCTAAAGGATATGACCTTTGCAAGTAAGGAAAAAGGTCATATCCTTAATTAGAAAAGTTTTGAAAGGCTGTGTCCTTATTTGCATGAAATCTCTTACAGAAGGTGACTGGCTGTTCATGCATTAATTACAAAAATTAAATTCCTCATCCTCGTAAGGTCACAGTACATCTAAGTTTTCATATCTAGTTTTTTCTTAAAAGGATCAACTTTTCCTTTCTATGATACTGCAAAAAAGAAATACAGGACTCACAACGCGAACATCAGCAGCAGTGTATTTTGACAAATCCAGAACAGGCTCCTGTCTGGCAGGAGCTAAGCAGATATGGAAAAACAAATATCCAAAAATAAGTCATAATGCAAACCATCAAGGAAAAGAACAATATAAGTTAATAATATAAATCCATCTACAGATATAACACTATTAAGTTCAGAAATTGAAACCTTTTTTAGTGCTTCAGCCTCTTCTAAAGCTTTTTGTGCCTCATCTATCATCCCCTTCTCACTTAAAAATCATTTAGAGGGAGAGCATTTCAATTACCACCATAAAGTACATATATCCCTGAAATCTTTGTATCACAAGGTACAATAAAACACATTTAAGCACAATTTTCAAACAAATAAAATAGATTTCCAAATAATAAAGATCCTAATCGCAAGGAACCTTTTTCAGTACAACTGCTAGCCTTTTTCCTATTGATATCAATCAGAAAGACAATTAATTTTGGGCTAACTTAAGGAACAAGAAGCCTTTCAATCAAAAGCAAGTATTCAATTCAATGATTTATAAGTTTAATTCATCTATTATAATTAAGAGATATTTTAGTAACTTCAGTTTTTCTAATATCCTTCTGTATAGCTTCAATGAAAGCCTTCTAAAGGCATTGTTAATGTAAAGCACTGAGTGTTGATTAAAATGAAATCAGAAAAGCACAGAGTCTTTATCAACAATTGACCATTGTTTTGGAAGGAAAGAGGAGGCAAAATTGAAGGCAAGGTTGGTTTTTACCAAAAAAGGGTGTAAGCACACATATAAAGGAATATAAATCAGCATAATAAAAGATTCAGAAACAGATTAAGGAATACATGTATCTAATTTCTAGGAATTTGAAGGCGACAAATAAAGTTAGGAAAAAAAAAAGAAAAAGAAAAAAGAGGTTATATATCTATAGCATATGCAACATAATATATGTCGATAGTCAATATGTTTTTCTCCTTTGTTTTACAAACTTGAAAAACAGAGTTCAGGTAAGTTGAGCCTTACCAATATCCTCAGCTTTCTTCAACTTTTCATTTATCATTTCCTGGGTCCGCGGATCAGGTGCAGCTACAGGCAATGGTGCCAAAGGTGAAGGATTTGGCAATGGTTGAGGCAAAGATGCTCGATCTTTATTGAAAGCATCCAAAGCAGCATGGACTGTAACAACAAACAGAACATCATATATAATAAGAGACAAAATGTCATCCAAGATATCAGGAACTTTATGTACATTTAATATCAAGGAAATCCTGAAATGAAAACATTAATGTTTTCAGTGATGTCATGACATGACAATTCCTACAAAAGAATCTTCTTCAAAGTACCTGTTTATCTGCTCTTTTAGTTCTGAGCTCTTCTACTTCTTCTAGAGCTTGTATTTTAAGATCTGTCTTGCCTTCAAGATCTGCAATTTAGAAACAATCATGTACATCACTTAAAAGCTAATATTAAGTAAAGACAGAGGCCAAAAAACCTCTGTTGTCTCCAACTATGTACAAAACAATTACAACCCCAAACACCCAAGTCTACACCCTCCATTGGTTCAGACAGACTACAACCTCCCATCCACCAAACCAATCAATGAAGTCTGCAACTGTGCATACCATCCCCAATTTAATTCCATGGACACTTTCTAAACTACTCCCTAATTGGCAGAATTGTCCATATATATACTCTTCTTTTTTTCTTGTTTCTTCTTTATATTTCATTATTATAAACCACTTTCAAAATGCTTCTAGTATTAGTCTTACTAAATACATGTAATTCACCCTTAGCTCTGATTCCTAGCCACATTCATCTCTCCCTCAAAGAATCACATTTTTAACAAATAAAAACAAATGATCTCAGCTGCATCCATCAGTTATTTATTGGTTTATATAACAGAAGCAAAGATTTAAAAAGACAACAAATATAAAATAAACCTAGCCATTTGGTTTCCAAAATTAGGAGTTACAACAACTTAACTCTGGCTACATTCTAAAAAGCAAATGGTGTATATCTGTCACTTTCCCTTCTAGGCTTCTACCTTGCTCCCATCCATCCCCAAAAACTTATACCGCTTCTAAAACCCCAAATTTTCTCAGAACACTTCGAAAACATAAAGTAGGGTTCA